CTCTGCCTGAGCTGGCTAAGGAGAGGGAGGCACCGGCACGCGGGAGCCTGAAGGAGGACTTTGGAACAGGGAGGCTGGAGTTCTGAGGCTGAGGATGGAGGGCCGTCGCGGCCTGTGTGCCGTGGTGGCTGGAGCGGGCGGAAGCTGGACTTGGCCTGGGCGGGCAGCAGGTGGCGCCCCAGATTCATCCTCAGAGGGGCTTGGGGAACTCAGGGGGTTCAGAGAAGGCCCCCTAGTCTCCCTCACTGTCCCGGGTCCTGGCGCACTGCTGACGTTGATTGGGATGGTCTGAGACGCTTGCCTCCTGCACCGGCCCAGCGGTCTATGAGGGAACGGTGGTCCGTGTGCGCCCCCTGCCAGCAGCAGGTGGTCCACGGAGGCTGAATCAGTGCAGGAATAAATACGATGGCCCTGTCCACGAGACACCCACGCCCAGCCATCTCTGCAGATTTCCATATTGCCGGCTGCCAGCAAATCTGGCTGCCTGGGGAGCATCCTGCCTCCTCTCAGAGAGCAGGGGCAGCAGCAGGGATGCCCAGGGGCTTCCACAGGACAGCAGCCACGTGGACAGAGATGGGCGCAGAGAGGAGGGGGATGAGCTGAGAAGGGAGGGCCAGGGTCCGCTGTCCCTCAGTCGAATGAGACAAGCAGGGGGAACCAAAGGGCCTGAGCGCTCCCAGCCCAATGAGCCCCTCCCCACACGCGGCAATTGTGCACCCGACATGTGACTAATGGAGACGTGTTGTGCGTGTAAAACCCACGCTTACGCTAAACACAAGGCTTCGTCCAAGGAAAGCAAGTACAATGTTATTCTATACTGATCTCGTGGTGAAGGGATCATAGGGTTTTTTGAATGGGTTAAATAAAAGATAAGAGAATTCATTCCACCCATTCCTCGTTACTTTAAAAATGGGAGCTTCCAGGAACTCAGAATCCTGTATGTGGCTGGGCACCAGCTCTATGGGCTAGCACGGGTTCAAGCCACAAGGTGCCCCCATGCCCCCTCCCCCATTTACCAGTTGCGGGTTTGGGAAGGGCCCTGCAACACTCTAGCCATGACCTTGACTAGTCGTCCCACCGCAGGCCTCACCTTGGTTGGGCTGGGTTGTTGGAAGCCCCACACTACAGTTCCCTCCACCCCAGGCCCAATCTCCCACCAGCACCTCACTCTGACCCTACTGCCCAGGGCTCTGAGGTGGCCTGCTGGGTCCCTGGTGGACACCCACATGGCCCAGACTGTGGAGGTGTGTTTCCTACGGCCCCTGGAGTGGGGGCGATTGTCACCGGAAGCCCTCCCTGCCCCAAATACCTTCAGAGCTGGGCACACACTCCACCCAGGCTCATCCACAGGAGCATGGGCCTTGTGGACGGGCAGAACCTTGGATTCGTAAGGTTCCCTGGTGCCTTCCCACCCATTCTACGGGCACAATGCCACACAACACAGAAGCTACATGCCTCGTGCCCTAGTTCTACCCCCTTTCCACACAGTTTCCCCTCGAGCTCTAAGGGGTGCTTCAAGACCCTTCTCAGAATCGCTTGGTCCATCTTTGTCCCTGTATCAGAAAAAGTACTCATTAGTTCCAAAACAACAAACCAAACTTGCTGCCATCAAGTCAGTGCTGACTCACTGCACCCCACTGTGGGTGTCGGGCTGTTTGTGGGAGTCGAAAACCCAGTCTTTCTCCTGTGGAGCAGCTGGTGGTTTTGAACTGAGGATTGTAGTGCGCATGTAACCACTACTTCGCCCGGGCTCACGTCCTAGTGTCCCTTGGCTCAGCTCAGGAAACTCAACTGGAGCAAACTGTCAGGCAGGGTCCCAGGGACGTGCTCAGCATACCACCAGGCACCACCTGCTGTCAGTGAGTGGTGTGGTCCATAGATGACGTGCTAAGTGAAGGAATGCTGCTGTCCCCGAGAAGGGGACAGGGTGGGGCCCCAGGGCAGGGATGGCCGCTCCATTCCCCAAATGCTCGGTTGAGCCTACAATGGAGGACGTACCCCCTAAGTGACAGAAACACACCTGGGCCGAGGGGCAGACCCCACAGGCTCCCTGGGAACTGACCCACAGCCCTGGTTCAGATGTCTGCTTGGCGTTCTCTGCCCGGAGATGTGATATCCCATGTCTCTCACCTGCCCTGCACCGGAGGGGTGCAAACAGCCGGGGCCAGCACACAACCCCTGGGGTGCACGCGGTCTCACTGTTCCTGCTTCTCAGGAGGGAGCAGCAGGAAGCCCAGGGAGACTCCGAGGCCACCGCTGGGCGGGTGTTCGAGCAGGAGGCAGCCCGTCGGAGCCCCAGGGTCCTTGTCCCTAAAGCATGAGAGCCTCACACCAGCCAGCACGGAAAACATTGCTTTATTAACTGCATTTGCCAACACACGAGGAGTGCAGAGGGCTCCTGAAGAACAGGCCCTGGTAGGGGGCTGGGGGCTGGGAGGCCCCTGGAGTGAGCAGGACAGGACGGGCTGGGGGCTACGCAGCAGCGGCCACACGGATTCATGCAGGGCACAGCGGGCCTGGGCCACCCCGACGCGGCCACACATTCTATTGCTTGTTAAGGGTTGCGAACACGGACGATGTACAAAAGGGAGGAATAGGTCTTTGCGTTAATGAAAAATACATTTTTTTTCTCTACAAAGGAATCTTTTCTAATACAAGAAAATAAATATTGCAACATAAGCCAAAAATAATTTAAAATTGCTCTTTTCAATATATTTTTCAATATTTCTCTTGTGTATTAACAAATGGCACATCACTTTCTTTGAAACAAAGACAGAAGGTGTCCCCTCCTGTGACATTCAGAGCGTCCCCTCCACCACCTCCGTGGAGCACAGTCCTGTGTGCACCCGAGGGAGAAGGGGGCAGGAAGGGCCTCAGAGAACCGGGAAGCTCCAGCCTCCAGCCCTGGCTCTCTGGCCAATGTGGCCAGCTGGGCCAGGGGCGTGGGAGAGTGGATGCCCCGAGGGCCTGGCCTCGGGGGTCCAGATCACTCTGCAGAGCTGTGGGCGGGCCTGGGCAGAGGTGGGCCGCATTTGGTGGGAGCGCAAGTCCAGCTGCTGCCAGCGCCCAGCAGAATGGGGCAGCTGGTTTAGGACGTGTGCCCATCTCCCACCCCCACCAGCACGCTCACACACCCACAGTCCAACACCCAGGCCGGACACCGGGCGGCTTCTCCGGGGACACGGAATCCCCGGCTTCACAAGTGCGTGCACACTGTCAGAGTTAGAGCTCATTTAACAAAATAAACCCTCCTACCCCTCTTCTCCTTGTTTCAAAATACATCTATGATACACAAAAATACTCTCCTTGCATGTCATCCCTTCTCGCCACGAGGGGGAAGGAGGAGGGGTCTCCATTTCAGGGTAAGAGACCCGTTCCTCCCGGGGGGGAGGCTGGGAAGGGGGGCAGAGGGGCAACAGCCAGAATGAGTTACGGAGCAGCTTCTCCCTCCTGAGGAGGGCCAATGAGTGTGGGCAGAGGGGCGTCAAGGCAGACCTCGCTCAGCATCCGACCTGGAAGAGGCCTCCGCCTTCTCCCCCTGCTGCCCACCTTGACTTCAGGGGTGGCCAAGCCCTCGACATTGTGGACAGAGGTCAGAACACTAGTGGTGTGACTGTGGCTGGTGGGAGAGAACGGGGCAGGGACAGGTGGCCTGTCTTCCTTGCAGCCTGGCGGGCATGCTGGAGGTGAAGGGCTGGCTAGTTAAGGACCGTTCTGGGGTCTGGCCTGGGAATGAAGGTGCCACCTGCCACACGCAGGGCATAGGCAGGCCCTGGAGGTGGCCAGTCCAGAGCAACAGCCAATCAAGCAGAGACCAGAATCCAGAGGCCAGCCAAGTGGAGCAGAGGCTGTGTAGGATGGTGGCCGCCACCTTGACCGGTCCAGCCCCACTCCTCTCCCCAATTCCTCCTCCGCCCGCTTCCCCCAGAGCACCCGCCCAGGCTAAGGGAAGTGGCAAGGGAAGAAGGGCTGTAAGCCTGTTAGGCCCGGGTCCTGCCTGGCACACCTAACCTCTGGCAGGAAGTGGCTGTTCTTCAAGCTTTGGCCCTTTGCTTCCTGAGGGGTCAGACGGGCTAGCTAGCTAGCACATGGGTAGGGACCCAAAACACGACGGGAAGAGGACACTCTGTTCAGAGGCAGTACACCAAGGCTGGGATTGGGAGATGCTGACCTGGATACAGCACTGGCCACTACTACCCAAGTGGGGCAAGGTGGCTAAGCCCCGCGGAGTGGCCCAGGCCACCCACTCCTTCTTAGTCCACTCCCGCCGGACACATTTGCTCGAACCTTTGAACGGAGTCATGATCTTTGCTTCCCGTGTTGCTAAATTTCAAATTTGTACCGTGATCATTCTGGAATCAGGGGAAGGGGGTGGTCACGCTGTTTTCCAGCCTGCTCCCCGAGTTCAGCCTTCTGTGCGTGTGCGTGTGAGCCTCACATGAGGCTCTTTCTGGGCTGGTCTCCTGCCCCGCCGGGACCTGCAGGGTCAGGAAAGCCCAGCCCAGGATTGGAAATGTAGCCTCAGCTGCAGAAAAGCATGCTCTCCGAAGAGCCTGGACTGCGTATCCTTGGGCGAGTGTGGCGAGCACGATGCTGCCCTTGGCTGCTAGGGAACTCTGTGTTAAAAAAGAGTCCGAGCGACAAGTTGTCAGGTCCAGGCTGTGCTGTATTTAGGGTCAAAATATTCTTTGGCATCCACAGAATGATTCGACTGATTCACGGACGTTTGTAAGGTTCTTGCAGGAGGAGTTCTGGCTTGAGCCAGTGGCAGAAGTGACCCAGGAGAAATTGGTAAGAAGAAAAGAAACATGTTTTCACGGAATTCCTTTTTGTTTGTTAGTTCCCTGAGCTATCACCCTGGGGCCACTCGCTAAAACTCTTCAGGGCAACTACCTGGGGCAAGGAGGTGGGACGGAAAGTGGTGGGTGGGAGCGGGCGGGGCCGGGGCCGGGGGACTTAAGGCTCTAAGGGACAGAGGAACACGGGGACATCCAGGGACATCCAGCGAGCCTTCAACCAACCCTGGCAGGCCCACACTGGCCTGCCCCGGGCCCCGGGATCCCACTGCTTGTTGGAAGGACGAGTTTCCTAAAGGAAACCGAGGAAGAAGCTCATCTCTTAGCAGGACTGAGAAACAGGAAAAGGCAAACGGTCTGGTCTGGTCAGCTGTCTGCGAGGGACCAGACTTAGGCCGAGACTGGCCCCAAAGGGCGAAGGAAGTAGGAGCCCCGGAGTGCTGCTCTGTGGTGGGCTTGGTGGGCAACCCACGTTTGGGCACTGGCCCTCCCTTGCAGCTCCTGGCCTGCACTGGCGGCTGGCTGTTTTGGGAGTTCCCCTGAGTAAATGGCGCAGCCTAGGAAGGATCTTGGGAAGCTCTTCCCAGACCCGCCGGGCTGGGCTGGGCTGGGCTGGTCTGGGCGCTGCTGGCAGGGGAGGAGCAGCAAGGGAGGGAGGGGTGCAGGGTGGCGGGCAGACCTCAGACGTCGTTGGGTCGGTCAGGAACGGCTTTGGGCTCCCCTGGAACCCGCTGGCGGGCCCTCGGCACCCCTCAGTGCTTTTCTTAGAGGCTCGTTGTGCTTGTGACTGCGAGTAGACTCTGGCCGGGGAGTCACGTGGTATACTTCCTTGGGGATCAGTGGAGTGCAGCAGGAGCCCCCCAGATGGATTCCATTGGGATTGGGGGGCAAGGCGGGGCAGGCCAGGGTTGGCCCATCTGCCAGGAAATAATGCCCTAACAAGTGTGTGTGCCCCCCAGTGGCAGCAGCCTGGGATCCTGGGCTCTCGTCACCTTGCCTATGTCTACCTAGGCGCCCGGGACCGCGGGCGAGGGCCTGGGCAAGGAAGGCTGCCCTGGCAGGAGCTGGCAGGGCCCCTGGGGCCTGAGCCGTGGAGGAGCGCTGGCGTCCTAGGCCAGCAGAGAGGAGAGACAAGAGTGGAACCGGAAACTCTAGTGGAACTAAAACCATAACGGGGGGCAGCCTCAGGGGGTTGGGGCACTCAGCAGAGACTGGGAATGGCAGTTGTTACTGGGCTGAGGCCTCGTGGGTGACCAGGGCAGGGTGAGGGGGCAGTTAGGAGGCCAGGACACCCACGCGGACTACCTCCTCAGCCCCTGCTTCCCGGGGCCCCCGCTGCACCCCACTGTGCTCCGTCCCGATGTCTGAGTCGCTCATCTCCCCATCTGAGAAGTAGCCATCAGTCTCCGGGTCAAAGTGTAGCCTGACCTTTGGCCTCTCGGCCACAGCAGAAGGCGGTCCTGTCCCAGCATCGGGCCTGCTCGCCGGCAACCTCCGGCTCCCCTTGCTCTCTCGGGGCAGCCGGAGCCGGCCCATTGGCTTGGGGCTCACCGCCGTTGGGCCAGGCACTTGGACATTTGAGTCGGCAGCCGTGGGGGATGCCTCTTCTGGGGTCTCCGGGGCCAGTGGGGGTGGGCTGTGGGGGGCCGCGGGGATGGGACAGTCCCCGGCCGTTGGGCTGGACGGCAGGTGAGAAGGTGTCCGCCGTGGTGGTTTCCTCGTGGGGGGTCCTTGGCCCCCCTTGCCACTGCCTGCATCCTGGCCCCAGGGCTTCTTGGGGGGTTTGTCTGGGGTGGTCCGCGGACCCGGCCCATCCTGTGGGGGCGGCGGTTTCTTCTTGGCAGGCAGGCGGGTGCGGCCGCGGGCTTTGCGGCCCGGGTCCCCGGGTCGCAGTGCGGGGTCCCGCATGAAGCTGAGCAGCGTCTCCTCGTCCTGCAGCAGCTCCTCGGAGAGCAGCCCCGGGGCTGGGTCCTCGTGGTGCCGGTTGCTCAGCGACCACTCGCTCACGGCCATGTTCTCCGCTGTGATCTGCACTGACTGCGCCAGCCAGCTGTTGAAGAAGGTGCCGTCGATGGGAAACGGTGTGGACAGGCCTGGACAGGGGCGGGGCGGAGAGGAGGCAGGTGAGACTCAGCTAGCCTGTGGGTGCCTCCCGCTCGGAGATGAGCCCCCAGGGCAGGGTGGGGTGCCCCGGCCGCTCTGCTACCCTGTCAGGTGTCCTGTTTTGTCCACCTCTTGGCAAGTGCCCCCAGAGCGGGGTCCCCAGTGTGGGGGCCTCTCCCTGGGTGTACTACTCACCCTCATGGCTGCGAACAAAATGAAAACGTGGTGCCATTTATTAAAAAATTATTAAGAAATCAAGGCATTCAGCCAAACCCAAGGCCCTTCTAAGGGTGGGGCTCTGGACAACTACCTCCACAGGCCCGGCCTGGCCCTGTCCTGGGGGAGGGGATGGAGAGTAACGGCCTCAGGCCCCCTGGCGGTCTGGACCTTGATGAGCTGTGCCGCCCATATGTGGGGAGGTGGGGGTCATCTGGATATACCCTCCCTCCTGGGTGTCAAGGCCAGCTGGGCTCTGGCTCCAGCCCCTTCCTCCTTCACTGAGGCCCGGGGAGGAGATGAGAGGAAGCTTCAGGAGGGGCGCCCTGGCCCCCGGGAAGGGACCTCAGGGGAAAGACTGGCCAGAGCCAGTGCCGAGGGCCCTCAGAGACTGCGGTGCAAGGGGCCACTTCTCAGGGTGTCTCGGGCCCCTGATGGACGCTGTGAGCGTGGGAGGGTCTGGTCACACCCCTCTTGAGCCCTGGCCTCCCGTCCTGTGCTCCTCGGGGCCTTGCTGGGTGCAGGTCGAGGGACGGTGTGGGCCCTCCATGCCCATGGGGCCCTCACTCACCCAGCTGTCCCAGCACAGACTCGTGGCCCGCCTTCACTTGCTCCTTCTTCTCCGGGCTGCCCTTGGGGCCCTCACGGCCTTTTCTTTTGGGGTCGTTTTTCTTGCCCTTTGCTCGCCTTCCAGTCCGCTCTGCACGGGGGACAGCCAGAGGGGTCAGGGGGGCCGTTACCCGATGTGGCCTCGGTTGGTTGGAACCACTGCACATGACCCCAGGAATCCTCCACCAACCCAGGGCCTCACCCACCAGTGGGCCAGAGGGCAGCCAATAGGGCAGGGATGGGGTCCCGGCCCACTGCTGTGGTGGAGGCTCGGAGGTACAGAAGGAGAGGCTTGGGCAGACCTGACCCACACAGAGATCGTGCCTGATGTGACCCACACAGAGATCGTCTCGTGGTGGGTGGGAGGCTGACGGAGGAGGGTGGGGTCTGGGCAGGGCAAAGCCTTGAATAGCAGCTAGATCAAGGAGCTGGACCGCATGTGGAGAGAAGAGCACCTGGGGAGTCAAGAGGTTTGGCTTCTAGTCCTGATGCAGTGGCCGGCTCCCTGAGCAAGTTCCCTGCCTAGGCCTCTGGTCTACTTCCCGGTCAGGCCGCAGATGGAGATTCAGCGTGCAGACCTTCTAGCCCTGTGACCACACAGGGACACGCAGCAGGGTGGGGTGGGGTGTGGGAGCCGAGAGCGGGGAGGCCAGCAGCATTCTGGGCCCAGCGTCAAGCCAGAGGGAAGGCGGCTTCCCAAACAGAGGTTGGAGAGAAGTTCGAAGGCCCCTGGCTGGAACGTCTTGCTGTTTATACCCAGCATGCCACTTCGGGCTGGACACTTCCTCACTGCTGGCCCCTCATCTACACACATGCGGTCAGTGCTGAGGTCCTCGACACACAGGGGGAGGCTTTTGTGCTCCCCTCAGAATAGACTGGGCTCCTCCCCAGGCCCCAAGACCTGCCCCTGCCCGGGACTCCCCTGCAGCCTTGCTGTACACATCTAGTTTTGGCCTCGGGGGCAGCCACGCCCACGTTCCTTCTCATTTCTCTAACCAGACAGACACTGGCCACTGCATCTCCAGCTCAGCAGAGCCCTTGTTTGTTCCTTCACGTGGTTCTGCCCACAACGTAAATACCACCTCCCACGGAGGCCTTCCATTGCTAGACCAGTACAGGCCTCGGCAGGGGCCCTGCAGCCAACATCACACCTCAGTGGTCAGGAGTCGTTATAGCGTGGCCATCACTATGCAAATGCGCTGAACAGAGGGATGCCACTCAGGTCTAGGAGCTGCAAGTGTCCCTTGTGCAATGTGGGGGTGAGGTAGGATGTCCCTCTAGGCCAGTAGTTCTCAACCTGCGGGTCGTGACCCCTTTGGGGGTTGAATGACCCGTCACTGGGGTTGCCTGATTCATAGCAGTAGCAAAATTATAGTTAGGAAGTAGCAACAAAAATAATGTTATGGTTGGGGGTCACCACAACAAGAACTGTATTAAAGGGTTGTGGCATTAGGACGCTTGAGAACCACTGTTCCAACGTGTGCTTGAGCATGTTTCTAGCACGGCTTCGGAGTGGTCTGAACTGGTGCAGTCATGGCCGACCCAGAGGAATCAGAACAGGCCCCTATTTGTAGGATGCGGGTGTCGTGGAGAGGTAAGCGGGATGAGAGATGAGTTGGAAGGGGTGCAGGGAGCCCCTTTAGAGCTGTCCAGAGCGATGCACATGCAAAGTCTGCCTCCACTTTGGAGCCGGGCACCGCTGTTTGCAACTCTACCTGTCGAGAGATGTGGTTGCTATGCGGCGTGCCCACTGCCCTTGCCTTCTACGAGGAAGATTGAGTTTCCAATTTTAGCAGGGCATCACACCTGGCAGGTTTCCCCTTCTGGCGATTGTTCCAGCAGACCACAAGGTGCAGATCCGTGTGCACTTCAGCATGACCTCTCTGAACGCATTTCTAGAATTCTGTGACTGAGGACACTACTCATGCCTTCCAGGAGGGCAAGCATCTTGTGTGCGTGGAGGGCGGGCGGCGGGGAGGGGGCTGCTGGAGCCTTCTGCACCTGTGGCCAGAGCCAGGGGCTGGGAGGTCTTGAGACGTGCAGGCAGCACAGCCGCCGATACTGTCTGTCCCTGCACTGGCACCAGTTGAAGCCTCTCCAATCAAAGTGTCCACTCCTTCACTTTGCCAGACAGAGAGCTTTCTGTAGCGCAGGAGTCTTATCCAATTGGTTGTGTGCAGTGTGTCCAGTTTGTTGACCTAGTGCCCCCTGAACAAACGAACAGAAGAGGGAGCCTGGAAAGTTCTGGAAGCCAGGGCACTGTCTCAGTCTTGGGGTCCATGGTGAGCGCTTTCCTCCTCTGCCTGGCTGTCGGTGCCCTAATCCGGCACGCTCACTCTGCAGTGCCGATGCCTTGGGCCGGAGCGGGCGGTGGTACCAAGTACAATGGAGGCAGCTCAGCTCTTGGGCAGCACTGGTTGGTACCAGTCCAAGATCCATTGCTCCAACAGTGCTTGTCTCCACTCGAGGCCAAGCCTCCCCGGGGGGCTGAGCCGGGAGCTCCAAGCTCCATAGCTCCTCATGCAGTGGTTCCGCTGCGTGTCAGTTGACATCAGAGCACCATGCTTCGGGGCCCAGCACTGTCCTCCTTAAAGGGCCAGCACTCCAGGAAG